TATTATTTATTTAATGTTAACCTAATACTCGAAACTTATTTGTACAAAAATAATATTTCCTAATCATCTCGACAAAAAAAATTATTTTACATCTTATTTTTTATTCCCCCTTTTTTGTAATAGTTTTATATTTAATAATGCTTTTTAATTACATTTTCAATTTTTATGTTTTTAGTGATTGTTGAATGAACGCAGAAAAACATCAAAGAAAAATAAGGAAAAGAAATGTATTACAGTGCAAAGCAATTGTTCTTTTGTGCACTTAAAAAAAAAAAAAAAAAAAAAAAAAATATAAATAAATTTTGTTTGATTTTGAAAAGTTAAATTTAATATACTTTATTATTTATTTAAATGAATTTAATGAAAAATAATTAATCTGTTAATAATATTCCATTTTTACAATGAAAAGTATCTATTAATTTAAGCATTTATAATTTAAAAAAATATAATTAACATTAAAAGAATGGTGGAAATTTTTTTTTTTTTTTTCAATCAAACAAATTATTAATTTAAATTTATTTAATATTAACGGTTATTTAATTACTCGAACTGTAGTAGCATGTAAATTTTATAATTATTTAAGAGTTATTAAAATTATGGCAATTTAAAAAAAAAAATTTTTTTTTTTTTTGCATTAGTTCTACAAGAAATAGACATTTATTTACTTTAAGACTTTTTGAAACGCAACATTGCTTACCAAAGAAAGATGGCGGTGGAAAGTTGAATTCTGTTGGCGGTAATAAAAAATTTCCTCAGTTTAACATTGAAAATCTTAAAGGTAGTTGTTGTTTTTTTTTTTTTTTTCAATTTAAGTAATTAAAAAAGAATAATCTGTTTAAAATGTTTTGACAAAAAGAAAGTACAATGGATAAATAATATAATAAATAAAGTTTTTATATAATTTAAATTTTTGTGATTTTTTCTGGTGTACGTTTAAATTTCAATAAAATACATTTCACTGTTATATTTTACAGGTATGTTATTATTTTATTTATATTTTTTAAAATGAAAATGAGTAATAATAAGTTAATTAATGAAAACTTGGTAATAATTCGAATCTCTTAATAAAAAAATAACTTTTAAATCATTATATTTTTCGAATTGACGCCATGACAGAAATTGCAGTTAGATGAATGTGTTTGAATTTTTATTTTACAGAAAGGATTTTTTTTTTTTTTTTTGGAAACATTAATGCGTTTTATTATTATTATGTATTATACTTTAATTTTTCTACAGATTTACATGAATATTAGTAACAGTATTCTATATCGTTTAGTATATTCTTAACAGTTTCATACTTTTCATTCAATTAGTAACACTACATGTAGATCTAATAAATAATATTAACAAATAAGTTTACAAAAAAAAAAAAATTTAGTAAAGGAGACCTTGTTATTTAAATGCATCAAGTGATTTGTATTCAAAACATAATTATTTTTTCTTTGTTAAAATACCGAGAAATTTAATTTTAAATAATAAATTTATAGGCATTTAAAACCCTGATAGTTTCTTTTCCTCAATATTTATTAAGAAAGGAAGTGAAAAGTTAAAAAAAAAAAAAAACAACAACAACAATAGCAACCGCAAGATAAGATATTGTTGACAAATTTTGTTTTAAAAAAATTCAAAAAAAAAATAAACAAAAAATAAAATCCAAAAAATATTACATGTTCAAATATAACAAACAACAAAATTATCATTCAAAAAAACATTTTTTATAATTATTTTTATAATTTTAAAATGTTTAAATATATATATATATATTTAAACTATAAAAATGTTTTTGCTTATAATTGTTTTGAACTCATTTAAGTTGATTTTTTTGCATCAGATTGATGATAATACTAATTAATCATAATAGTATATATATACTATTTAAAATTTAAGTATAATAATAATAATATTCACAAATATACAATTTTCCAATCTTGAACTGAATTTTGATTATGTTTGCTAAAAACATTTCAAAAGAAAAAAAAAAGTTATAAAATCAAAAATTTATTTAAATTCCAATTAAAAAAAGAATAATAATATTAATAATAAAAAAAAACATAAATTTTTGTGTTCACTAAAGTTAAAATGAAAATGTCGTGGCGCCAAAAAGTCGTTATAAAGTTTTTATATAATAATAATAATATTAAAACTAAATCTAAAAACAATTTTTTTTTTTTTTCTCATATACAACTCAAATCACGAACGGATCAAATAACTGTGACAAATTTTCAATGTTTCCCTAAGGATTATTATTGTTAGTATTATTATTATTATTATTATTATTTTGTTAAGTAAATTGTTTTTTTCTCTCTCTCTCTCTCTCACTCTCTCTCTCTTT